TTGCTGTGCAGACTTGCATCCCGGTCTCTGCACATGCTATTGAAGTCTTTAAATACCCACTCGTGTGTCATCGATTGAAAGGATTAGGATTGAACTCTGGAAACCTTTCTTTATCATCCACTCTGTTATCAGAATAAAAAAAAGTCGCGCAGGCTATCGGAGCGATTTAATAGAGGCATAGGAGGCATGTTTGAATCAGATAAGTAGCTTCTCCTCCTTTACTCCCTCGTGTCTCTCTGGAATCGTTTTTTCTCTGTCATGTTGAAGCAGGATACAGGTGAGGCGTGAGACTCCATTATATCTGACGCACACGAAAGGGAAAACCACACAGGTTTCTATAATCATTCTTTCTCTCTCTACCTTTCCTCTCCCTGCCATCTCCTCTGTTTCCGTCTTTGTGAATACGACTTGAACTAGACTATGTGATCTGCTCATCCTTTTTTCTTTTCTTTATTCTACTCCAAAGTCTGCTGGAGTTATTCACTGGAAGTCTTTTCAAAGGTGCGTTTGAAAGTAGCGTAATCCCAAATGACTCATCTCACTCTCTTTCTCACAGCGAGCACTTGTCCTGCGCCTTCACCTTCTTCTTACATGGCGAGAGCAACGTGTGCACCAGCGTGGAGATCAACCAGCACCAGCCTGTCTACCATCTCACAGAGGAGCACCTTACTCTGGCTCAGCAGGCGTCCAGTCCCTTCCAAGGTGGGTAACTGCTGTGTCTTGATGCATTCTCAATCATCCAGGAAAATAAATCTCCAAAAGTTGATTCTGTTCATCTGGACGTAGCGTTTTCTGGGAGAAACTTTTGGAGGTAGCTGCTGTGTGTTAGCCAGCCTTCAGTGACGTGCTCAAAGGCAAACATGTGACATAACATCAAGTCACGTCGTCATGTTGTTGAATTTGGTTTAATGGTTTCAGCTGCGTGGTGATGGGCGTGGTGACAGTGCAGCCATAGATATGTGAATTAGTTCAGCTCTCTTTTTACATTTTTCTTGAGCAGATTAAACGAGTGCAATATAAACAATTTATATCTTCACAACTTTTGAAATGAATATTTAAACTGTCTTCTCATTAAATTAGATAAAGACTTAGTAAACTGTCCAAGCAGAGGTGTTACTAAAGTGTCTGTAGAGTAGCAAGACTTCATTCTAGAAAGACTTTGGTGTCTCCTCATAATCTGCTGCACACAAAGTTTCCCCAAAGTCTGGTGACTGGCAAAAAATAAACACAAACAAGAAGGGGGGGGGGGGGTCCCTAATAATGTGTCAGGTTGATTTGATCTGCCAGACCTCTCCCTCACATATCTGTAATTTTTCAAATGGCAGTAAAATGATTTTTATGAGGGTTGTTGCTTGTTGTTTGCACAGATATGGTTTTTTTATCTTTAATTTTGTGCATAAAACGACGCTGTAATCCAATAAAAATATACCAAATAGTACAGAATGATCCCAAACAAATGAAGGACAATAAATGTGGTGGTTGCTCTGTATCGGCTGCAGGACTTAAAAAACAAAACTGTGGATTCTCTGGGTTTTGCTCTTAAAACAAAAGCCTTATTTTTACACTGAATCAACACATTATTGCAAATTTTCTGCTGCTTGTCATTGTAAGTTTCTCTGAAATAGATTATACCAATCATTACAACAACGTGTCTGCTGCTCAGGACACAAAGTTTAGAATTAAGCTGCCTTTTTTATTCAGATTTATTCAGTGTGAGAAAAATGTCAGAGCTGTAAATAAAATCACATTTAAAGTTTCTGCCTGTTTAAAAGCCCAAAGCTGTTCAACCCCACAGCCTCTTTAACCGTCGTTACAGTCAAATTTATTTTCTTCTCTGGATTCAAAGTAACAGGTCACTCATGCAGAGGCGCAACTTTTATCTCACAGTTACTTTAGACTGTTGAACACGCAGACATGGATTTTAATACAAATACTAAAAATAAATGGCCTGTATTTATTTAGTGCTTTTCTAGTCCCTAAGGACCCCAAAGCGCTTTACACAACCAGTCATCCACACATTCACACACTGGTGATGGCAGCTACATTGTAGCCACAGCCACCCTGGGGCGCACTGACAGAGGCGAGGCTGCCGGACACTGGCGCCACCGGGCCCTCTGACCAACACCAGTAGGCAACGGGTGAAGTGTCTTGCCCAAGGACACAAGGACCAAGACTGTCCAAGCCGGGGCTCGAACCGGCAACCTTCCGATTACAAGGCGAACTCCCAACTCTTGAGCCACGATCGCCCGTGGTTGGTGGTTATATAAAAGGTTAACATGCAGAAATGGATTTTAATACAAATACTAAAGGTTATATGGTCAACAAAAGTGTAGACATATATATTTTTCTGAATGAAATGGATCAGCAGTCTGTGTGTTCGGTAATCTTCTGTGTTTCACTCTTTGGCTCGCTGACAGCTTAATGAAAAATCACGCCCCATCCAAATGTTCGTGTAACGACTTTAATACGCACAGTTTCATACTCGTGTAGGAGGAAAACGGATTGCTTTATGAATACAGTCATTAGATGTAAAACTGTTATCACACTCATCCTGTTGATTCTTCTATTAGCAGAGAGGTATGAGTGTCGTCATTATCTAGCTGCACTCGGCTCTTTCATTTGCATACTTTGCTGACTCGCCTCGAGTTCCCTCGGCAGCGTTGGACCGCACGAATGCGCTCGGCTGTGATGTAACGTGTCCCCCTACACAGAGACGATGCAGAAATTAAAACCATGCAAAGCTAAAATGAATGTTTTGTGGAAATTTGACAAACGAGCCGTCACGAGGCTTATTTTTATTTAATCTTTGTGCACCAATAAAAAAAACCCCAGTTGGATGAGACGTTTTCCCAGAGGAAAGGTTTGCCGCCTTTACCTTTCTCATTTATGGCTGGATAGATGTGATGCAGCTGTCCTCTTTTTCTCTGTACGCCCCCTCCAGAGTAATAATAGTGATCACTTCCTCCATTCACCACAGTAATTCCTGTACAGACGGCCCCTTTACTGTCTCTAGAGACCTCATGAAGGGAGGCGATAATACCTCTCAGTTAAAGACGAGTACTTTAGATAAAAATAAAAAGACTATCAGAATTTAGCATGCAGATACGTACGCTGATGTTTATGGGGTTTCCCAGTTATTTAGAAGGATTATATTGCTCACCAGCTCAGAGTAACTTACGACTGTTTTGTTTGTCTTTAAATACTTAAATCGGTGAGATATTTTCCATCCTGGTCAGGTAATTGAGGGCTCAGGATTTCAGAGATGCACACTGACACCTCTTCTCTTCTCACCGAGTGATAAAGCTGCTGATACGCTCATACAAGTGATCCACAGGAGCAGTTTATTAGAATGATGCATTTGTTTTTGTAGCGTTGGAAACACCCTCGTGCACAGCTATGTGAAACTGATGCGTGCACCTGTCTCCACTGTGAGAGCGTGTGCGTCTGTGTGCAGGTGTGCGTTTTCACCGCCGCAGCGTGCATCCTCCTGGCTAACCAAGCATAGCACCGAGAAAGGCCTGACTTCCATCCCCCTTTATCCATCTATCCACCCCCCCGCCCCCCCCACTCACCTCTGCCAGCTTGGTTTACTGCGCGGCAGAGCGCCCTGGCGGGCAGACCTCTCCAGGATGTGACCTCATAAAAGGGCGCAGAGTGGATGTAATGAACTCTCAGCCCATTACACTGATCTGAGCACATTTGACATGTCTTCAGGGAACCAGAGATGGACTCACAGCCGGAGAGAGGGGCAGGAGGGGTAGCTCGAGAGGGGGGGACGAGGTGCGGTGGCGATCGGGGGAGGGGGGTAAACCATTTCCATAATTGTGCTGAATTTGATCTCTCCTCCACAATTGGCCCGAGGTCTCACGAGCGCGTGTGTGCACAGCAAGAAGTGCAGAAAAGGAGCAGAGCTGAATTTAATCAAGGTTAATGTGGTCGTCCATAGCTGGATGTTGTCGTGCATCTCAACGTAAATAACCTTTTGTTCTTCTCTCTGCTGGGCTGTTTTCGCTGAGCTAGTGCATCTGTAGGCTGAAGCGAAGCAGCACGCCGAGGGGCGTTCAGGCTCGCGTCTAGATGACATGTTTATATAACTTCTTTCTTTTTTTAAATGCTCCGAGGTTCATTTGACAGTAAAAAACCAAAATAACATTATTCCTCCAAGTCACCTGACTTTGTCTGGCGAAGCTCAACATTGCTTCCAATCTGCTGCAGCGCTACTTATCTCCCACTGCCACCTGCCAGCGGCGTCCTTGAAATATCCCGAAGTGTCGGATCTGTTTGTCACTTTTTCCCCCCTTTGTGTCCAAACAGTGTCGTTTAAAGTTGTAATCCTTAAGATTTCAGCCCTGGTCAGTTTGATAACGGGCATGGTTGGCTTGTAAAAGCAAGTGCGCTTAAATGCTGCAGAATTCCTGGAGCCCCGACTTTGTCAGAAGCACAACAGAAGCGCAGCAAGTGAATCTGTTTAAAGTTGTACCAAAAACAAACTTGGATTGCCAGTCAAAAGTGAGGATAATCAGGGCGTGACTTCAAGTTTCACTGAAACAGGAAGCAGCTGTTTATCTTGTCCAGAAGTTAGGTGTACAGCCTGCTGCCCTCCGTGGTTGCTCCTCAGCCTTTTCCCTTTCTCCACGCCGTATTTAAAAGGATCCACTTGCAACCAAACCTGCCACAGAATTAGTGGTGGGGGAAAAAATGGATACTGTGTAGCATGGTGATATTTTGTTTGCTAATAATGTATGGATACAGGGACAGCAGAAATCGATACTTTGTTACAAAAAGGTTTTTGTGCTCTGACTTCAGAGCATGTTGATCCTTTTTCTGAGCAAGAATCCTGACATTCCTTCACTGTCCAAATGTGTTGAACTTGTTTTTGGCAGCAATAAACATGACAGTTTACTTATTTTAATTTAAGACATGTTTTATTTTAATTAAGTTTAAAACTTTTTTATTTAATGTAAAATTATATTTTGTTTTAATTTACTTTCAAATTCTTCAGTTGCTGAAGGGGCTGCATAGTTTTCATAAACTGCATAGTTCAGAATAGCTATAATTGTACCAGATGGTTGATTCAGTTAAGTTGGACTAGACTGTAATACAAACCGTTCAGTTTGTCAACAATCAAACTGAAATGAGAGAAAGACTGAGTGTGAGACTTTGATATTAGAGAAAATGAATATTGATAAAGTTTACCTTTATGTACAGAATCTGAATATCGCAAAATATTTTAAAAATTGCAATAATATCGTATCGTGGGATGTGTGGTGATTCCCACCTCTACACAGAATGTGATTGTTTCCTGTTGCTCCTTCATGATAACGCCACAGTTGAAAGCTTTTGATGCAAAGAGCTGAAGTTAATGATTCATTGTAACTACTTTTTATCATCATTTTTTGCCCCTCGTGCGTTTACTCAGGTGGGTTCGATCCTGCTATTAAAAGCGAACATATAGGTTTTTAAAAGTTGCTTAATAGAAATGTGTTAAACGGCTGCTTCCAATAACCTACTGAACATAAACGGGACTTTATCGGCACATGCTCAAAGCTCCAGGCTCTTTCCTGGAAAGACTATTTGTGCACACAGGCTTTCTTTTTCTACCCTCTCCTTTTTTTCCATTGTCTCCTGCCATTTTCCTATCATGAAAGCTGTTCTGCGGTCCAGCCGCTCAATCAATACCTGGGGACAGAGGCCATCGAGTCTAGTAATGACATACTAGGGAGGCAGAGCAGAGAGGGACATTAACAAATGCTCACTCACACACCCACCAAGCCAGTCTGTTCGTAGAACCATTATACCCCCCTTTCCACATTTCAATGCATAATAGACAAAGAGAAAGGAGAATGGATGCATAGCAAGATGGTGTGTGTGTCTGTCTGTGTGTGTGTGTGTGTGCATGTTTCCAGTTGGTTTCTGTGCTCATACGTATGCATTATGCATGTTAGTTTATGGTGCTATCTGCATTTGGCTGATGGATGTTGGTCTGTTCTGTAAGCTGACTGATGGGCTCTCTCTGCCACTCTCATATGTCTGTGAGGTCAAGTGTGTTTGCCGAGGACCGGCCCCTTTTATAAGCCTCTGTTTATGGGCTCTGAGAGGCTGCTGCTTCTCAATAATTGGCGTCTGGAAAGGTCAGAGCGCTCCTGATTCGTCCAGAGATGGCAGAATGACAATGAAGGGAAAACACATGTAGAAAGAAAGACGAGATGAATGATGTGAAGAATTTAGCGACAATAAGAACGGACAAGAAAGGAATCGCAAGTGGTATGGATTTAGAGAAAAACGGGACGAGGATTAAGGACCAGGATGTAAGGGGAAAACAGGAACTAGTTTTTAAATGTAGTTGTGGAAGATGTGATGCAGATTGGAAGATTCCCAAAGTTATGCTGACTCTTTCCTTCTCGCTGCTTTTGCTTCCTCCCCCCTTTTTAGTGATCCTGAGTCCATTTGGTCTAAATGGGACACTGACTGGCCAGTCCTTTAAGATGTCAGACCCACCTACCCAGAAGCTGATTGAGGAGTGGAACCAGTTCTATCCCATCAGTCCCAGTGCCAAGGAGAACGTGTCAGAGGACAAAGTAGAGGACATGGACTGGGAGGATGAATCTCTGGCCTCTGTTGAGGTCCTCGTTGGTCAGTATTTATTTTATTTGAGTCCACAATCTTAAGAATACCCTCTCTACGTGTAGAGTTTCTTGAACTTTTTGCCTGTTTTGGTTCAGGTGGTGTGCGTATGGTGTACCCAGCCTGCCTGGTGCTGGTACCCCAGTCAGACATCCCTGTTGTGACCCCTGTGGGGTCCTCCCACTGCACTGCCGTCTACTCTGGTGGCCACCAAGTGCCTGCTTCCCAGCGAGAGCCCGCCATGTCTTTGGTGACACTCACCCCTCCCACATCACCCGAAGAGGCGCAGACAGGTAAAGACATAAGACTCCTGCTGAGTCCTGAGTTGAGGATTTGTCATCTTCTGTCAAATGGTCTGTTAACCTTCCTCTTTCCTTCCCCAGTGGACTCTCACTCGGCTCAGAAGTGGGTTAAGATGCCTTCATCATCTGATGCGTTTAGCGTGGACAGAACAAGTCACCACGGAGGAAAGATTCCACGCCGGCTAGCCAGTCAGATGGTGGAGCGTGTCTGGCAAGAGTGCAATATCAACCGAGCCCAGAACAAGTACGTGTGACATCGTGCAGAGTGCTTAAACATACAAACTGCCAGAAGGTATGCGTGTTGGATGCATCACCTATCGGTTACATTTGGTTTGCTCTCAGTCAGACTGGATTGTCTTCACCGTATGATTATGGGAAAATATTTGACCGTAAATTCAATTTAATTTTATTTACACAGCACCAAAGACACTTTATAATGTAAGGTAGACCCTACAATAAGACACAGAGAAAACCCAACAATCATATGACCCCCTATGAGCAGCACTTTGGCGACAGTGGGAAGGAAAAACTCCCTTTTAACAGGAAGAAACCTCCAGCAGAACCAGGCTCAGGGAGGGGCGGGGCCATCTGCTGTGATTGGTTTCAGATCAAACTAACTTTAATATTAGACAAAGCTATGACGGGAAAAAAGATCAACTTTTCCGAAACTATGTGGGAAAGATGTAATCTCACTGGCCACACCCTGGATTGTTCACTTTAATAGAATCTGTCTGACAAAGTGAAGCAGCATCAACAGAGTCAGTGACATCCATCAGTCTGGTTACACAGTCGTTTCTAAAGCTTTGGGACTCCAGCGAACCGTTTTCTGGAAAACTAGAAGTCAAACACGACACAGCAAAACATTCAATTCAGTTTATTTATACAGCTCAAAATCACAACAGTCACCTCAAGGGGCTTTATATTGTAAGGTCAACCCTATTATAGCACATAAAGAGAAAAACCCAACAGTCATATGACCCCCTATGAGCAGCACTTTGGCGACAGTGGGAAGGAAAAACTCCCTTTTAACAGGAAGAAACCTCCAGCAGAACCAGGCTCAGGGAGGGGCGGGGCCATCTGCTGTGATTGGTTGGGGTGAGAGAAGGAAGACAGGATAAAGACATGCTGTGGAAGAGAGACAGAGGTTAATAACAGATATGATTCAATGCAGAGAGGTCTGTTAACACATAGTGAGTGAAGAAGAAACACCCAGTGCATCATGGGAATCCCCCAGCAGCCTACACCTATTGCAGCATAACTAAGGATTCAGGGTCACCTGATCCAACTATATGCTTTAGCAAGATCAATCTAGACCAGTGCATTAACTGGTACAAACATGGTCACTGATTATTCCTGGTTAAAAACATTTATTATTTCAATATATGTAATGAACAGGAAGAAACGTCTGGCAGGAGAAGAGGAGCAGTTACGTCTGTACAGAAATACTGAGTGTGTGTTACTGCGAGTTGTGTTTATATACGTATATAATGTAGATAAAACTGATTATTGCTTATTTGATATTAATTAGAAATATCATAAATAACCACACAGACAGATAGATGTATTATTCTTCTACATTTGTCTGCTTTTTATTATTGATATAAACTCTGAGTTCTGAAGAAAACTGCACAGATATGATTGTCAGTAGTCAATTAATAGCTTAAAGTTTTAGACTTTGTGTTGTTTTTATTATTCTACAGCAGTGACTCTGACACATTGGGTGCACCGTGGGATCTGTTGCCTCTTGACCAAGCACAAAACGTTGGCTATAGTTAGCTGTCAGCTTGTCAGCCAAACCATTACCGCTCCAAGGAGGGTGATAAAACCAGCCTCGGCTCAAAGCTTTTACCAATCGCTGCTGTATGTGAAAGAAAAATGTCATCAAAAGTGGATGGGGCCGTTCACATAAATGCTGCTTGAAAGAATTGGGGAAATTGAAAAGTCTCAATAGAATTTCGTTCCGACTTTTTATTTATTTATTTGAACTCCCCAGGCGAAAGTTTCCAGCTGCAACCAACGGTACCTGCGAGGAGGAGCCGAGCGAGAAAGTGGGAACCTGGGATTTTGTGGAGTCTTCACAGAGGTCGTACTGCAGCTGTTCGAGGTCAGTCGATGTGCAGCACACACAGGTGTTGCTCATACGTGCGCGCTCAAAGACATTTCAAAGAGGTTACGTGGAGTCCACAGGGCTTTGAACACCGGCGCAGAGTCAGCAAAATATCTGCAAGTTACATCTGCGTCTAGACTTTGACAAGCATATTATTCTTCACATTTTTCAATTTATCACTATTTTGTATAAGCGACAGCCGTGGCGGGGCTGAAACCTCTGCTGGCTTGTGTGTTTCTGTAAGTCAGACGTTTTTATTCCCGCACTGACTGGAGGGATTTCAGGCGGAAAGAGTAGTTTGACCTCTGATGTAGCTGTTGAGGGCGGTAAAAGGAATGCATGTTGTTAATGTGAACAAATAAGCTCAGATCATGTGTTTGCCCTGAATCAGCCCAGCTGTCCTTATAAAGTCCTCACTGAACAACCTCCTCTGTATTTATTTAGGATAAACTAACACACCCATCATATGCATTAATATCATTTTGCATGCAGTAATCTAACACCTTGTAAATGCTTTTCTTTGTTTGCTTTTGCCTGCAGACGGTTAATATTTGTCCTCTCTGGTTAATATATAGACATTCTTGTCTATCACATTTTATTTAATGACAGTTTTTAGATCCTCATAAACAGCATGCTGCTATGTCTGCGTC